AGAGAGGCCCACAGCATCCCCAAGAGGAGTCTGCCGTGCCCATAGGACCTCAGGCAACCAGAACTACATCCCCGGATAGAGGCCAAGCCTAGGGGAGAGAGAAAAGCACCGATTGGGGCAAGCGACTGGGTCTGGGGGCACTGAGGCACTGGGGAAGCACAGGGTCCACAGGCTGGGGGTACTCTATTTTCCTTTGTGGCCTCCTTGCCCAGCGGTTGCACCTCTCCAGCGGTCACGGTGGTGGGTACTGCATGTTGTGTCATGGCGGGTGTTGGAATAGGAGCAAGGGACAAGGTACCTCTTGTTTGAGAGGTCCCTAGAGCTCTCAGGTCAGCAGAAGGGGTGCACGGGGAGCCACTGTCGGCAGACACTGAGGCTGGGGACACGGGATAGTTGAGCCGGAAACCGAGGGCCTCTTAGCTTTCATGCCAGAGCCTGGCCCAGGACACCAGGGCCCGCACCTGGAGAGCAACAGGAGGCTCAGGAGAAGAAACCAGTAGGGGCCAGAGATAAAGAGAGGTTTGAAGACCTGCGGCAGAAGGTGGCATTTGGCCAGGATGTAGGGGAGGTCGGAGCCCCATGAGTGCCCGCCGAGAGGCATGACAACCCTGGAGGCTTCCTCGAAGGAGAACCCCTCCACTGAGGATCCATTCAAAGTCATGGCAGGCAAGTTAAGGGGATCCTCTGACGTCAGCCAAGGTACCCTTTGGGGTCCACTTGCAGGCCTGGGACAAACCAGATCGACCACCCGGGCAACGGCAGCTTGAGAACACCTAATAGAGCAAAGGCAGGCACAGAGTCCATGAGTTTTTGTATCCAGGAGGTTGGTGAAGTGAAGTTCATAGGCTCATCTATGAAAAGTGGTTTGTAAATTCAAACAAGCACTGAACCTCATTAACCTCATCACCAGAAGCCAACTTCCTACAGCCCAAAACACACTGAATGGATCCAGACCATGCCATGACAAGACATGCAGAACCTGCCAACATACTAATCTGATCTATTACAGACAAGAATACTCAGCTACCGGTGGGGGCACATTTCTCACAACAAAGCCATTCTGTCTTCAATCTCTCAGGCCTGATCCTCAAAGGGAATTGACAAACCACGTTTCATAATGGATCCAGCCATTTTTTGATGCCTTCCTTCAGCTACTTCATCAGTGCCTGAACCTCCGGTGACAGCGGCCTGCCCCAGCCAGGAACATTGATCCACTAGAACTTCTCCATTTGGTTCCCAAGCTCCCTCACTACGGGGATCACCTGGCTAAGGAGGGCATCGCTAGCACTGAAGGTCTTGGTGGCCTCCCTGAAGGGCTTGTGGACCACTAAGATCTGGGAGATGGTATCCCACTTAGCTCTGATAAGGGGACCATTGATCCCAATTTCCCCAAGCAAGGCCATTTCATGGATGGCCTTCTGTTGCTCCACCAGCCTCTTGAACATCAGGTATGTGGAGTTACACTGAGTCTCCACATCCTGCATAATTTTGTGCTGCAGGATGCTCATCTCTGCCTGTTTCTCCCACAGTATATTGCCCCCCTTGATGCTGTGGTGGAAGTAGCCCTCCATCTTCCTGCATTTTGAAATCAGCTGGGTAGTAGTGATGGCGCCATCACTGGCAGCCCTGTCCCCTTCCAAGGTGTCCCTGACTATGAAGTTCAGCTTGTGTGCCACACAGCAGATGCCAACAAAGTTGGCATCAAGGGTGACCTTGACCATATTGGCCCCACTGTTGGTGACCATGAACCCACGGATGATGTCACTCTGCCCAATGAGCCACCCCTGCACCATGCGGTTCATGGCCACCATGATCTCCCTTGCTGTGTGGGACTCATCCAGCACCTCGGCTTGAACGATAGCCCACTGATGGCCTGACTGATTGCACCAGTGCCCTGTGAGGGAGAGGTAGGCATGGTCGCCACCCCAACTGCTCCAGATGTTGGAGGTGAAGTGCAAGGCTAGCCGTGGCCATGTCTTGTGCAGCTCCTCCCTCAAGTATTTCCTGCATGCCTCATATAGGGAGGGCATTACTGTCCTGCTAAAGGTGGTGTGTATGGGCACTCGGTAGGATGTGGCCATGAGTGCCATGAGCTGCCTGAACCCTGGCCACTCAACTAAGGAGAAGGGCTGGCCAGTGACAGAAAACATCTCCCCAGTGCTCTGGGTGACCTTGCTCGCCCTTGCAATGTGCCCCTCCCCGCTTTGTCTGCAGCTTTCCCTCTCTGCTCCAGGGTGGCCTGCCTCTGCTTTGTGGGGCAGGGGCTTTGGAGAGAGAGCAGGACTTCCCTTTGGGCACACTCCCAATGGGTCCAGACTGAGGAGCAAGGACAAGGGGGTGTTGCCTTCTAAGATGCAGTAGCACTGCTATGGTGGTGAAGTGTTTTACCTCCTTGTCCTGGCTGATCTGCCTTTGGCAATGCTGGCAGGTAGCATACCTGGGATCATCTGCCAACTCAAAATGATCCCATACTACACTACCTCCCTGCTTCAGGGTTGAGGGTGGGGATCTTGCCTTATCTCCCTCCTCAGTAGGCAGAGGCACAACAACAGGGGATGCTGAGCTACCTGCCCCTACAACCTCCTCCGAGGTGCCTTGTGGAGAAGGAGACCTGCCTCTAGGGGAACTTTGAGAGGTGTGGAGCATACACTCTCATCCCCCTCCTTCCCCGGAATTTCCCTGGCTATGGCACTGAACTCCCCTGGTTCCAGATCCAGCTCCTCCTCTGGCACTGGGAGGCTCATGCTGGGAACTGTAATTGGGGTGGAGAAGACTATAATTCTGGTGCTGGTGGCCATTTCTGTTGTTAGTGGAGGTGGTGCAGGAGCAAGGACCACCTGTATTGCTCCCACCTTCTTGCTCCCACTAGCAGCAGAAGCCTTATGGCTATTAGGGAAAAGCGTGCATCTAGATTTGGCCGGGGGGAACTTGCAGATCTCCCCTACCCCCTCTAGCCCCTGTCACTCCCCTGGTAGAAGACCTGGTACCTGCCTTTCCAGCACGCTTCATAATGTTTGCTGTGCTGGAAAATCTATGCGTGCGTGTGCAATATATTTTGTATGTGTTTAATGTGTGTGTGTGTGTAATATATCTTCTGTGTTCACTATATCATCTTACTATATCTTCTTCTATCTGCTTACTATATCTTCTGTCTGTTTACTAGATAGAAGAGACTAGGTAGAGAGACTAGCAAAAGAGTGAAGAGGCTGACTATGAAGCCAGCTGCTGAAGCCAGTAACTTTCGCATGCTGTTGTTTCCAGACAAACAGCTCACAAAAGGGACAGACAGGCTTCACACAGAGCCTTATATGCTGTTTCTACGTCCCTGCCCCAGAGCACTGTGATTGGAAGGAAACTCAGGGAAAGATCACGGTCAATGGGCAGCTACAGATGTCAGCATCAGAGCAGTCTTTCCCCTCCACCCGCTCCACTGCCCTTCTCAGTTTCTGTTTCCACACAAGACCGCCTTTTCCAAATCGCCAAATGTTTTCAGATGCTTCAAATCAATTCAGAGTTTTTTATGGGTCTCCCAATTCAATTCAGATTTGATGATTCAGCTGCCGAATCAGGCCGAGTCTTCTCCAAATTGAATTGGTGACCGAAGCTTTGCACACCCCTACTTAGCAGCAATGTGGATGAGCTTCAACAGGAAGGGAGCTGGGTATCTTCAGCTTAGCCCAGGCCATAGTCTGTTGGGTAGGGCACTTTCCTGGGAGTAGTAAGTAGAAAAAGTAAGCTCAGGGACCCTCACAATGAGGCTTAGAACCCTGGTCTCTTGCTTCCTAGCTGAGTGCCCTTGCCCTCATGGGCAAAAATTAGATGGCTTGAGTGGTCACATCTGGGCACATCTGGCCCTTCACAGGACTTGGAGATAAGGACACTTAGTCTGCGAACCCAAAACAGCCTTGGGTCATATTCACATGCTAGCATAGGCATCTGATTTTTGAGCATGCACACTAGCTGTGCTTTTCAAACACCTGGGTCCATTCTCATGTAAGAGTTAGAACACAGTGATATGTGCTGAGATGCTTCAAACTTCCTGTGCCCATAAACATTGAGGTAGGACTTTGCTGAATTGCATATTAGAGAGAAAGGATGTAAATTCCAGCTAAAAGCATACATCACTCCTTAAAGTTAGGCCTACTAGCTTATACAGTGTGACCTTCTGCACACTTCACCACACTAACCCTGTACCGAGCCCCATAACTCATGTATTTAAGTAAAGCCTTACTTGCAAATGTAACTTAAAAACACAACTTCCTGTCGTCTTCTATATTTTAGAAAAAAAACAAATACTGCAATCCAACACCAAGAACACAAGAGATATCTAAATACTTACAGAATTTTCCATGCCCTGTCCTCCTGTTTGTCAACTCTTTC